GAAGCCATTGAGTGGGATCACCACTAAATGACGGCAACTGTAGCTTTGGAAGTGGTACAGGAGTAGTTGAATCATGAACGGTAGTTTGCGCTGTCTGCTGCCTTTGAGTTACGCACAGGCGTTTCAAGTTAGCTTTGGCGGTGCTGTACCACTCCTCACCTTGTATGCGTGCCTGCTCCTCCATAGAAATGTTCTCTTCACCACATGTCAGTTCCACCTCTTGTTGTGCTACGCAAAACCGAATCCATTGCTCTTCCAAYAATTGGAGGTAAGTAGTTATTACCTCAGTGTCTATCGACTTTGCTAGATTGCAAATAGCGTTTGTAGCATTTAGCGCGGAGTCGCGAATTTTAGCCGATGACAYGATTAATATTAAAAATGCAGAAAAATATTGAAAATAATAGCAAATTTGCGGAATATCATTAATATGTGATGATATCCGGCTCGAAGGACCAAAATATGTTGATGWTTAATAACGTTCGCGGAAGATGAATTGTATTTATGCGGATTGAACTGAAAGACGTGTTATGCGGTCGAATTCCTTTATTGAAGAGAGAGATAAAACGGAAGCTGGTTTGACAGCAAGCACATAAGTGCTGCCCTTGTAGCTTCAAACATATGTTTAAAAAGATGATGCCAGATAGGCGCGAACAAACCTTTTATAGAGAAACTTATCCAATTCATTAAACAGTTTTATGTAGTGCTGGTGTTGAACAAAGGAAACGTGAGATTTAGTTGAAGAGAATTTTCTGTAGTATTTATTTCTAAGATTTTTTAAACGTTTGAGGTCCTTAGTGTACCAAAGCAACTTATATGATTGCATATGTTTGAGCGGGATATTATAATGACAAAATACCTAAACTGATTTCTTAAAAATCGCGAAACTAATAGAAGTATCTAGTGCCGAAAGTAAATCATCCCATTTACTCTTACAGAGCAGATTATTGAGTCGTTCAAAGCCACAAATTGCAAATTAAACCCAAGCCCATCAGTAGGTTTAACAGGAGCATAAAGATAAGTATCCACCTCAAACGCTAGCGGAGAGTGATGAATGGTGGCTGGAGTAATTGAAGAGGATCCGTCAAGAAACCTAAATTTTAAATTATCGCAGAGAAAAACTAAGTCAAGAAAACTATTTGAATATGAGTTGATTTGAATCAGATTGAGACTAGGCAAGCTATCAATGAAAAATAACTCCTGAGAAGACGAACGATTGTAGGGAATAACAGCAGGACTATACGAACAACCAGACCAGACGATATCGCTTAAGTTAAAGTCACCCAGAACACAAATATTATTCTCTTTCACCTTATTTAATACCTGCGAGAAAATATTACTTGCGTGCGACTTATATAACTCTAGAGGACTATTAGGAGGGATGTATGAGACTACAATGCACATAGCGTCATTAATAGAAATACATAGTTGGTCCAGAATAGAATCATCATTATCAAGCATAATTAAAAGAGGACGTTATTTGCGATGAACGGCTAGGAGAACACCACCCCTTCTTAAACAGCCAGTTTTTTCATGATCTCTGTCCTTACATAATAGAGATTTGAGTTTTTTCATGATCTCTGTCCTTACATAATAGAGATTTGAGTCAAAATATTCACTATCAAAGTAACTGGAATTCAACCAAGTCTCAACGATAACGATAATATCGAAATCCAAATGTGAAGAAAAGTTGCGAATAATATTTGATTTACACCTAGTACCCGATACATTTTGGTAGTACACTGTACAGGAGTCAGTTGAGGAAGGTGCAGAAAACGCATGAATAAAATCGTGATTAACAGGCGCATCCACTAATCTACAGCGCTGTTTTCCCCTCCCTTTGGAAAAAACTTAAAGGGACGCAACTTAATGCCAGAAAGCCACACTGAAGAGGAGAAAATGTCATTAAAAAAAGATGGGGACTAACTTAAAGTTTATATTCTTAAGATTATTAATATTAGTATAATAAAAGATGCTCACTATTAATAATAGCATGTTTAACAACAAAAGATATAATATCTTCCTCAGTGACTGAGTTCTTAAAAGCAGACAGGTGAGCCCATTTCTTGGGTATGACGACATCAAGATTGGCATTAACACCAACAACAGTTGAAGCAGCTGGGGATTTTTTGTTCCTAGTACTCACTTTTAGCTTCGAATTTCCATTAGCAGTAATTGAAGTTGAAGAATTCAGATTAACAGAGTCATCAACGGCGACTGGTTGAGCAGCATTGACAGCGGCAGAAGGGCGATCTGTTTTAGCAGCAACCGTTGGATTGATTTTGGCTTTCGAATGAGTGTTGATACTCCTAGCAACATCATCAGCATATGTATTGGCATAATTAGCAGCATTGGGGCGGCAATGTTAGACCGAGCTCGAGTTCGTTAAGCTTAACGATTAACGAATTTTGATCATCACATAGTTATTATATTAATGTGTGCGCCTTCGATTGTTCACTTCTTACTACCTTGTTTGAGTGATCAGCATTTGGTTGTTGCGAATTCATAATATGAGAGCAGTGAGCATTGCGCACTGATGGCGACGAATGTAATTTCTTCGAACTACCGCGCACACTTTTCAATAGAAATAATTTTTAGATTTCAGCAAAAAATCCACATCAGCCTGTGATAAATTCACACACGACAAGTGGAAGAATTGATTGCATTTATGGCAGCTGATCTTGGGCTGAGCACGATTAACTCTATGTCCGCAAACACACGTCATTAATTTAGAATAATTAATATTAGTTGCACAGATCGTACCCCACAGTTGAATGCCATACATCCAAATCGGCTTTATGACCGCATTATATAAAATAACTTTGCTGTCTAGGCTAAGTTTGGAGTTTTTATTTAAATTAGCAGCTCATATTTCATGCAAGTAAAGTAAAATTACTAGATATATGTTTTCTCCACGTAAGTCTTCAATCTATGTGAATACCAAGATAAGTTACTTCATTCGCTTGGGGTACTAAAATATTGTTCAATTTTACTGACGGACACGTTTTTGGTCTCAGCGAAAACGTAACATGCTTACACTTCTGTTCATTCACATTTATACGCCAGTTAGCCATTCTCCGACAAACCTTAAGTCCTCGGCAAATATTCTTGATGCAACATAAACATTATTAGCTGTTGGAAGAACTACTGTATATATGATGTATAGAGTTGGGCCTAGAACACTACCCTGTGGTACACCAGCCCTTATCTGTCGTTCATCAGATATGAAATCTCCCACTTTTACCATAATTTGCCTATTTTTTTTTTTAGAAGACTGATTGGTCTGTATGAAGTCTGTGTTAAGTCTTTC